CACTTAATTTTTTTCAACTTTAAAACCCTTCGAAAATATTGTAAGAGGAGGTTCATTATTATTATCTTCTTATTATTATACATCTTCATTATGAGAACTCTTAGATTAAGAATCTATTGGTTCTAAGTTAAGTTCTTAATCAGACATTATATAATTTATTATATAAGTTTTATAATATATTTATTTTCATCATAGATGATTATAAAGTTCATTTATATTAATAAAATATTGAATTGTTATATCACTTGATAAAATAATATTATAAAATTCATTAATCAGAAAGCTGTGAATGAAAGTTACACAGATCTAAAATATATGATATATTATGATACCTTCCATTAATCTTGGCATCTTAGATATATCCTAAGACACTTAAACTGCATCCTATGTCTGAATACAGTATTTTGCAAGAGCTCTGATTGATGAATCTATATTATATTAATATAAGATACTTCATATTTAAGATGGGAGTAATACACCCAAAATATTGATATATTTGCTCTATAGTTACCCCACTTAATCCGGTGATCAAGATTGAGTTTGACAGTTATTATTAAAGAACCGGTTTTCTTTCATTAGGAGGTAAACTAACTGAGCGAGCATCATGAGAAAGTTGATCAGTAACCATAAGATTCATAGGCATTCCAAAAAGTATGGCTTTGCCAAGTAGATTTTTCATTCGATTTGCTTCTTCCTTAGAAGGTACTTGAAGAAAAGCTCCATAATGACTTTGATACATTGCATCTACTCTCGTGAATGTACTAAAGATGTTATACACCACTCGAAGATTAATGTTGGAATGCTGAACTATCAAATAAGTTGGGAAGGTAGTTGGAGTCATTATAAAGGGACTGCTTATTTTCTTTTGGGGATAAGGAGTAAAAGGACTGGCACCACAAGAAAAAGGATTTGTGGAGTCATTGCAAAAGACTTCATTATAATTGTCTTCGGAATGAGTAGATTTCTAAGATTTTTCTGAAGATTGGGATGAGATACTCTCTCCATCAGAAAACTCCTCCTTTTCATCTTCTGAAGACTCCTCTGGAATCTGTTACCTAATGGAATCCAAAGTAGAGTGTAAAAAAGGGGAGGGTGATGGAGTTGTTACGGTGGATACAATTTATTTTTATTTCTTTCCCTCTCTTTGTAAAACGGATGCATAATTTCGTAATTATTACTAGTAAAGAACAGTCAATTATTAAGTTTAATTACGATACTCTTAGATCTGTTGGATTATGGATATTTATTCTTTTAAATCTGCAGTTTTGCTGAGTTGAGCAATAAGCTAATTAAGCATGTCAAGATTCTACTGTAATTATAGATTAAGAGAGCCGGAGTCTTCTTTTAACTGTTAGAAAAATTGCTGCTTTGATTAAAGAGTAGTGTAATCTATATGATAGAAATAGAAAATTATACCAACACCGCAATTGTTATTATTCTAAAACACGAGAGAATCTCGTTGGCTGAGGTGTACTCTCATTTTTAATTGGTAATCAAAGAGAGTCCCATCTAAAACTAAAGCAGCTTAGGCTTATTAAGCATTCTCATACTCAATGAACACTTTCCAAATGATTTTTCTTTCGAATATAAGAATCTAAACACAAAATCAAATAAAGAAGTACCTTTTTAACTTGCCCAAAAACTGAGAATGTTCTAAAGAATTAGCTGTGTTCTAATACTTTTCCCTATTTGTTTGTGACTAGCACCAATATCACAGGGGTTGGTGAACTTGGTGATGGTGAATTCTTGTTCATAAAAAATAATAATATTTCATAAATCTAAATTTTACTCTCCCTATATACTCTTATAATCTCTTCCTGTATTTACTGTTTTATAAATATCCAAATACAAATCAACAATACTTTTGTTTTTTCAAAGGAATGTTTCCCTGACCTCCAAAAATTTATAGTAAGTTAAATTTCATAATATCCTAAACCATTTTTCGAATTTATACTAAAATATCATAGTACAAAATTTTTTAAAGTATTTTAAAGATGAAATATTTATATATATATCAAATTATATAATTACTAAATCTTTATTTACTATCATGTCTTATGTATTATCTTCCTTCTTTTCAATATAAAAATAAAGCAAACCCTCTAAATGAATTTAAACTTATATCAAATAAATAATTAAAAATTTATTTATGATACTGTTGAAATTTAAAAATGTTTCTCACTTTCACATTACTTGAACTTAAAAATTATTGGTATATAAAGACAATAAAAGACTTTTCTTATGCTTAAATAATAAAAAAATGAATTATTTCTTGTATAGTTTTTAATTACTTTTTAATAATTTTTATTTCATTAGTTACTTCTATTTGGAATATAAATTGAAAGCAGATAATTAATTACTTTTGTTTATAAATTGTCTATTAAAAAAAGTTATCAATTAACTCTAAAATAAAGCTATTTATTTGAATTAAGTGAAAAATGAAGAGGAATGAATTAGCATATTGAAAAAATATAATATTTTTCTATAAAATAATTAATGAATGAAATAAAAATAAAAACTAGAAGAAGTCATCTTAATTAAAACATTTAAGTGAATGATTTTATCCTGACACTTTTACAATAATTCTGGATAACAAAATAAAAAGAGTTTTTTTAATAACATAATTTTATAATAATGAAATCACCAATAATAACAGATAATAGTCGTAGAGCTAAAACAAATCCAGATCAAAGTTCATTAATTAGCTATTCTACAGTTAAATCTTGTGCTTCAAGTGTAAATATATTATTAATAAATAGGAACGAAAGACTTAAGTAAAAGTTGCTTGTAAAGTTTTATGTGAAATGAGAGAAGATGAATCAAGTAAATTAGCTATGAAATTTACCTAACTAAGAATCGTATTAGCCACTTAATCTCTTCTTCATAAATTATAAAAGTATAAATCTTCTAAACTGTAAACTTATTTTTGGATTCTGTAATAAGAAAGAAAAACAATTTAACATAATAGTTTCTTAGATCTAAATTAAACTATATCACTAACTCCTGTTATGGATGATCTATAGAATAATTAGATTAGAGAATAAATATAACAAGATTAATATCCCTAAATATCTACAACTACAGTAATAGTACTTTTTCATCTTTTAAAGAAACTTATAAATTAATAGTAGAAATTAACTTTAAAAAAGATCAAGGCATAATCAAATTTCTGTAAGGGTATTACACAAATTACAAATTTGATCAAAAATTATCAAAAGAGATCTTATTATTTATGTATTTTTAATTTAATGAGATTTAATCAAAATAGAAAAGTCTTAAAAACAAGTGTTCTTGATTAAGATCAAGAAATTCCAACTGAAAATCAAATGGAAGAAGAAATTAGTCAATCACAAGGAGAAATGTCAATGAAAGAATAATTAGCTATTAAATTTGCAAGTATTACAATTATAACTACGATATTAAATGAGAAAATACAAAAACAACAATTTTAATTATTTTTTAATATTATAAGGGGTCAATTCCAATTAAATAAATAATTAAGTTTCTCATAAATGAATGAAATTACTTAGATATATGAATAACCATTTTTAGATCAAAATCATATAGTTTTAGGTAATTAACTTTTGTGTTAAATATTTAATATAAAGTTAAAAGATTATTTTTAAGAAATCAAAACATATAAATTAACAAGTAAACACAATAATGGAGATTTCATAAATATCTTATTATAAAACAAGAATGTAGAATAATCAATTAATAATTCATATGAAGATCTCTATACATAAAGAGTATTATATTCACAATCTAAAAATGATGAAGAAGAAAATGAAAATGAAATCCAAATACTTGAAAATAATGATTAATTCAAAATGCCATGCTCTTTACAACATATTACTGATATAGATGATTCATATAAGGAAGAAAATTAAAAAATATCGGAGGTTTTTAATGAAAAAGTATTGCCATAGTAGAAGGTGATTGTTTAGAATAATAAACATTAAGATTTAATAAAGAATGCTGTTAAATCTTATTGTACTTAATAATAATAGATTAAATAAAGTGTTTAAGTAACTCCAAGAACTTAATAACATGATTAATTGAAAGAAATTTAAGAGAATAAAAAATAACAATAACAATTCTATATTCCTCATATTATTGGAATATGTATGATCGTATTTATTATTTTGATTTTATAATGATTAATAAATTTAATATATTATTTAATATAAATAAATATGTCAGGAGATTCATCATATTCAGAAGGGACCGGTTGGATATAATGGTTTTGTAATATGGAAGATCATTAATTTTTATGTGAAGTTGATAGTGATTTTATAAGAGACAACTTCAATTTGTATGGTTTGAAAAGCAAGTTCAATTTTTATAAGTAAATATCAAAATTCAACAATTAGTGAAGCTTTGGATTTGATTTTAAGTTCTGAGACTCCTGACGATGAAGATTTAGAAGATGAAAGATTCCTAGAAGTTTATTAAGAAGCTACAGATTTATATGGATTAATTCATGCTAGATTCATAATTACAGCCAAAGGTATTAATATCATTTATATAATAGGTTTGGCTTTAATGAAGGATAAGTTTTTATCAGGAAAATTCGGTGCTTGTCCAAGAGTATTATGTGACAGATCAAATGTATTACCTGTTGGAATGAGTGAAGAATTACGAACTTCTAGAGTAAAAGTATTCTGTCCAAGATGTGAAGAGGTCTACATTCCAAAAAAGAAATGTCCAGATGTAGATGGTGCATATTTTGGATGTTCATTTCCGTCAATCTTCATCATGGTATGATGATGGTTAATTTAATAAAGAACTTTGTTTAAGAAATTCAGATTGCTCCTAATAATTAATAGTATGTTCCTAGGATTTTTGGATTTAGAGTGTTTAAAAAGAAAGGATCTCGTTATCAAGATATGTAATAAAAACCTACTGAAATCACACATTATTCTGAGGAACAATTAAAGAAGTTAAGAGGTAAAAATGAATAGCAAAGCAAAGAGGATTATGTTCAAAAATGAATATAGGTAATTTGTTTTTATTATTAAAATTTTTAAATCTTTTTTAAATTAATATGCCTAAGGAAATTCAGGATGTTAAGGTATTCCTTTCACTCATGAAGGGTAGTGAAGCATAAGGCAAAGACCAAAATAAAGAACCAAAAAAGAGTAGAAATTTTATCTAATTTTTATAGATCTTTATATTAAAGAGTCAAAGAAGATCACCAAATTCAAGTTGAGAGGAAAGAAATATCTCTTTACCTTCAAAACTGCTGATAAGAATAAGGCCTAAAAAATTCAATAAACACTTCCATAAAGTATTTAACCTAATTCACAATTACTTAGATGTCAATAAAATTGTTATTGGTGCAGGTGGAAAGAAACAATAAACCAAAAAGAAGTAAAAGAAATGAATGCTGATTTATTACATATTCAATAGTACATTATCTATAATTTATTTAATTTTTTATTTTTAATGTCAAGTTTTCATAATAGTCATAATAGTGAAGTACATTCCCCTAGAATCAAACCTAAATTAACAGAAGATTAGAAATTCCATCTCATAAATCAATTCTTTATTAAAAAACTTAAATTCCCAACACTTTCTAATGTAATAATAGATGAAGCCATAAGTCAAGATTTTATGCCATTTGATGATAAAGATAAAATTTTAAGAGATCCAAATAAACTATCAATCTTTTTTTTAAAACTTGATCCTCAATCTCCTCGTACAAAAGAAGCCTTGAATTAATTAGATTTAGGTGAGAATGCATGTCACATATTTACATTTTAGCAGTTTCAAATGTCTGAACTTCATCCTATTTAAAATCTAATAAATTATATGAATTACCTTACTGAAAAGTATAAAGAATTGTTGCGTATTGTGAGTACAAGAAATTTGATTAAAAAATAAGAGAAACAATAGAAATCAAAAAACTAACTCAACAAATCACACACTCAATAAAATACTTCAAGTATCAGTCTCCATTTCATCTATCAGGCTTCCTCACTGATGGCGGTGCTCTTGTCATACCTACAAAGTTGACCACTATTATGTCAAAATCATTTAATACACGTTCTCTTGATTTCTTATAGACATCCTTTGAAGAGAAGTTAGAAATGCAAGCTAAAAAGAATTAAGGATATCTATAAACTCTTAGTAGATATAAATAAATGGAAGAAGAAAAACTTAAATCTTTATAAGATTATTATCAATAAAAAGTTCCTATTATGGCTAAGAAAGTAGAAAGTGTTAAATAAATGAATAAAATGTAATAAATCAATAAATTGGCTTAGTAAACAATAAGAAAGAAAGAAAATCTTTTAAGATCGTTAGAGAAGGACTCTTGAAAAAATACATGAATTAGAAATCAAAGATAGAGAATAGAGAATTAAAATATAGGAATATTTGAATAAGAAATAAGAAATTACTTAACAAAATAAAATATAATTTAATTCATAATAGAACTAAGAATTAAGAGAATAATAAGAGAGAAATTAATTGAAAGAAGAAGAGAGAAAAGAAAAGAAAAAATTAGCTATATATATGGAAGATTAATAAATTGAATAGATTATGGAGAAATAAATAGAGAAAGAGTAAGTGACAGAATAATTACTATAAAAATTAAAAGATGAAATGAATTAAAAAAGATAATTGAGTATTTAAAAGTAAGAATAAGCATAGTAGAAGGTTATATAAACTTAGATTGAATATCAATAAAATAAACTTGAATAATATATTAAATTTGCTGATTTGAGTAATAAGATGGTTGATGAATAGATGTAAATCAAGAATGAATAATTAGGATAGGTAAAAACTAAATTAGCTACTTAATTTAGAAAAGTGAAGAAAAATAAAGAAAAATTAAATAATCTTTTAGAATAGAAAATAGAATCAATAAAAAAAAAGGAAAATGATAAAAGTAATTTCATTTGAAATCAAATTAGACATTTCAGGTCGATTATAGTCAATCTAATCAAGTATTGATATAAAAATTAAAGAATAAACTGAGAAAAATAGAATGAGATTTTAAAGAGCCTTAAACAATACAAGAGCATTTGCAGAAGAGAAAGAAGTATATAGAATAATTATTAATAGAGAGAATAATAAAAGATAATTGATAAAATGATTGAAGAAAGTTAAAAATAAAAGCATCTCAAAAATCAAAAAGAATAATATAGTCAAGCCATATTAAAATAACATTTACTTTAAAGATAAAGTGTTGATAAAATAGTATTTTAATGAATTAAATAAATTTCGTTTTCTTTAAATAAATATTTTTATTTGTTTGATTATTAAATATAAATACAAATATTTCATTTTTATTAAATGAGTCTTTTATTTATTTCATTAATTATTTAATCTAAAGTAGCAGATTTATTTATTAATAATTAAATGATTTCATCAGCTGAATATCTCATCTGTTAATTTACACAAAGTAATTTTTCAATCATTGTTCTAACATAATCTGGTAATATTGTTAATTTTAATTCTTTCCAAAATATATTCCATTCTTCATTCTTAATGAATTTCCACCAAGTATCTTCTGTTTATGGATTATTTGATTCAAATGGAGGATGTCCTGTCACCATAATAAAATAAACTACTCCTAATGAAAACATATCACATTTTCTTAAATCTATTGGAATATTCCAAATTTCAGGAGCAGTATATCCTTCACTACCAGAAACAGTAATTTTAGGAATTGGTGTTTATCCATTAATCTTAGCAAATCCAAAATCACATAATTTGATTATGAAATCTCCAGAAATTAATAGATTATCTAATTTAATATCTCCATGAGTTATTCCTTTTTCATGAAGATATTATAAAGTCTATGCTATTTAAAGTATTATTCCATTTGCAATAGCTATAGGTAAAGAACCTTAGAGTAAAATTTTATAAAGAGAACCATTAGTCATTAATTCAAGAAGCATACAAGAACAATCTGAACAATATCCAATCATATTTATAATATTTGGATGTTGAATGTGTCGGAGTATTTGGATCTCGTTCTCTTGAAAATATGATATTATAATTACGAATAAATTAATTGCATTTTATTCAATCGTTTATGCCAAACATTTTAATGCAAATTGTTGTTTAGTTTATTTGTTTATAGTCAAAAATACTGTACTATCATGACCTTTGCCTATTAATTTAGAAAAATTGATCTAATAATTTGTAGCAAATTGTTCAGGAGTAAACATTAAATTATTAATCATTATTAATATTATCAATATATCAGATCAAAAGCCTTTAGTAGCCATCATTCTACCCAATATAGCATTTAAATTTTCATCAAGGAGTTCATCCACTTTCAAACCAAGATGTCTCTTTGGATCCTTTTTACCTGTATTCTTGATTTTGGTTTCCTATTCTCCTTTCTTTGATTCATCATCTATAATTTTATTATAACTAAATATATACCTATTAATTTCTAATACTCTAAAGCTAATTTGGACATCTCTTCAACACATGATTCATTTCTTTTACTATTTTCACTAGCAGAATTACATCTAATAAAAATAATAGAATAATAAATAATTACTTTAATCCTTCAGTCCAACTATTCTTATATAAATTTTAAAGCATTTTCTATTCTAAATCATTGCATTTAAATTTGATATTAATTGAATAATAATATCTATTCAATCCTCTTAATAAAGCTTCTAATCCTGGTTTTTAAAGATGTCCTGTGTTTGATGTAGTCTATCTTGGTTCTTATTGACTAAGCATATTTTGTTAAGGAATTAATCTGAATGCATCAATTACTACTTTGCCTCTGACTGATTAAATAGGGTCAATAACAACAGCAATTGATTTCTTATTTAACTATTCATATGATTATTAAGTATTGATATCGACTTTTAAATAATAAGAAATAAATAAGTACCACTTGATAGCCAACAACCATATGATGGATGTGAGTGATACCATCCAATACAATTTTCCATTCTACCTGTTAAATTAAGAAGTTCAACCATCTTTTATTAAAATATTGGGTCCACAGATTCCACAGAAACACTACTTGCTGTTTAAGGCATTGAAAAAACATCATAAACTCTAATATGATAATCGTCTACAATGTCTCCTAATAAAAGACCCATGACTTCAAATGGAATTCCTGCTCTGGCATGCTGAAAGATAATTTCTTAAATACTTTAAGCATTTTAATTAATGCAAGGGCACTTATGGTGACTTATTCTGCTGTATCAGGAATGGATGTTTCAGGATTGACTGCTTAGCCTGCTTAGGCTGCTCCTAACTATTACATAATGTTTTGAATGTCCATGATTATTTGAATGAAATAAATAAAAAACTAATACCGAGGTTGATAACATTGATTAATTATAATTAATTAAAAAATTTAAATATATAAAATTGCAACATGATTGGATTCATTTTTATTTAAATGAGTGATCAAGCTGAATTAATATATATTAATAAGTAAATTCTGTAGTGAAAACATACCAAAACTATAATCTATATATGTTGTAGTAGACAAGAATTACAAAAAAAATAATTCTGAAAATGCAATTTAGATCTAAATAAAATTTATGGGATTATCTCAATAGTATTAGTAAATAACAAAGTATCCTAATTAAATAATTGATTAGATTGATTCAAAAGTCAATATTAATTAAATTAATGAATAAGATAAGAGAATATCTTCCTCAAGATATACATCTTTTTAATTAGGAAGATGTTGAATTCAAATTATAAAAGTAATTTTAATTAAAATACAGAATATCTTTCCTTTTTTTTCATATTTATAAATACTAAAATCTTTTTTCAAATTTTCTAGAATTCTGAATTAGATGAAAATACTTTTAATTATCCTAATCATAATACTTGTGTTGTTAATATAGAATATATTGACCTATGTAAACATTATCAATTAATGAGAATTTAGTATTATAGGGGATAGATTTCATTTAATCAATATATATATATGTATAAATATTATTAATGAAAGATGTTTAAGAATAATAATAGAGAATTCCTGATGCTTATAGAGTTTTTGTATTAATTTCCATTACTAATTTACTTGTGAGTCTTGATCATGGTATAATTCCTGCAGGTTTTTATTTACTATTTAAAAGGTTAAGCAAGTGTATAGATTCAAAGCGCACTGAAATTAACAAATTAAGAATTAGGAGTATTAGGATCTTTAGTGTATGCAGGTACTGTTGTAATGGGATTTGTGGCTTCCTTTATATTTTTGAAATACAATCCTCTAAGAGTTATTGAAATCAGTATGATTACTATGATTTTGAGTCTGTTTGTGTTTACTTTGCAATTTGATATTGCATGGCCTTATTATCTTAGTCGATTCATAACTGGTGCAGCCTAAGCTCCTTTGATAGTATATTTTCCTGTTTGGGTGGATACATTTGGTTAAGATAACAAAACAGTATGGTTAACAATTTTGTAAGGAGGAGTGCCTTTTGGAGTATTTGTAGGATATGTATTGGCTAGTGTGATAGCAGCATAATGGAATGTAATATAATTGAGAAATTATAAAAGTGGCGATGGGCATTTTATTTATAAATTGTTGTACTTGTACCAAGTATTATATTGATTTCTCGATAACCTCATTAGAATATAGATGTTAGACCTTATGTTAAGGATAATAATAATACATATGAAAAGATGCCTTATTTTGAATTGGTCAAATTAACATTTAAGTCTAGATCATATGTTGTAATGACAATAGTTTTGGGAATGTTATACTTTTCAGTAACAGGAATATAATTTTGGATATCAAATTATTTAGTTACAGTTTTATGCTTTAACTAAGGCCTTGTTAATACACTATTTAGTTTAGATTCAATTACAGGTCCAACTCTTGGATGTGTATTAGGTAAATAGTTAATTTAATATTAATTATAGGAGGATTGATAACATAACATTATGGAGGATATGATTCTAAGAATGCTTACTATATAACTTGTATAGCAGCTATTTTTGGATCCTTGTCTTCAATTTGTGTTACACTCACTACTAATTTATGGGCTATAACAGGATTTATTTGGTTGTTACTCTTTTTTGGAGGTGCTTTGGTGCCTATAATGACTGGTAATAAATATATATATATATATCTTTTTAGGTATTGTGTTATCATCAGTAAATTAAGGAATGCGATCATTTGCTAATTCCAATACAACTACTTATGTAAATTTATTTGGGTATTTACCTGCTCCTATTGTTTATGGCTATTTATCATCAATATCACCTAATTTAGGATATTATTGTTTAATGTATTGTCCAAGTGTTGGTTGTTTGATGATTCTATGGACAACATATCATGAAAGAAGAAAAGATTGTTTTGTTGGAGATAAATCTATGGATTCAATGGAAATGCATCCACCTTCAGCTAGAAGTACTTCTGTTATGTAAATTATTTAAAATTTTCATAATTAATCAGATGGTAATTATAATAAAATTATATCAAGATTTCGTTAAGGAAGTATTAGAGTTTCATTCAACACCAATTAATAATATTACTACAACTCTTTATTACGAAAAGTAATTGTGATTTAAAAAAAAAATAATTCTGTTTATAGTTTAAAATATTATAATAATTTACTTTTTAAATTATTTGTCAGAGAATACTCTTTTCAATGAATGTTTAACCTGTAAAATGAAATTTGAGACTAGAAAATAATTGGAGAACCATGTTAAGAAGGTATATAATAAATTATTTAATAGATTAATTTTGAGTAATATAATATTTTAAAATCAATTTGGAATATATTACTAAATTCTCAAAATGAATTATTTACTTCAAGATTTATAAGATTAGATAGATATAAGTATTTTGTGAAGCATCATATTTGTTTGATAAAAGGGAAATAAATTAATAGAAAATACAAAAATCATGAAATAAATAATAATTTAGATTATTGTATAACATTAATTCATGATACATACATGATTGATATTATGTATTTTTCCAAATATAGACCATAAGCAGGATTTCTATTGACTATGGATGGAGTACATAATGTTCTTAATCAATCATATTTGTATGTAATTTTTTATTCCTTATAAAACCTGAAACATTTTATATTAGAACTTAGAAAAGTTACTGTGTTCTAATGATAATTTCGGTTATAAAATCAATATTCCTGATTATGATGATGTTTTAGTTCAAAAATTCAAATGAAATGCTAGAAGATGTCACAAAATTATTTTAGACATTAAATCTTTACTATTATCTAAACTAAATGGAGCCATCTTTTATGTTGGTTGGACTTTATTACTAATGTTTTCATTAGATAATTATTTGAATTCAAATAGTTATTAATAAGTAATATTCAGATGATCAGTCCTTAAAGCTGTAATTAAAGATATTAAAAAACATGATATTTTGGATTATCTTAAAGATTAAACAATAACAACAATAAATTATTTAAACTCAAAAATATTTCCACGTTATAATTAGTGGATGTTTTAAGAAAATTAATTAAAGATTTCATTAAAGGGAGATTGTAATAAATGCTTAGATTGTGATAGATTACAATATAAATATATACCATAAGGAGAACGAATTAAATAATGTTCTTATTTTTAGATTAAACTAGTATGAAGACTAATAAATCTATAATAAAATTCAAAGACAATCTCGCTGCTTTTTACAGAATGTTATAGAATACTTTATCAATTCTTATGGTTTAACCCAATATCTTGGAAGTTGATTATATATATAATTTTATGTAACATATTCAAAATAGTAATTAAGATGGACTTGAATTTCATATTAACAAAAATGCCTAATTTTATCAACAAAACATCATTTAAGAGAAAACCCTAAATTGCACTTTACCTAAACTCATCACTTTAGAAGATATCAAATTAGTATCTTCTACTCAAGTATCTGGAGATGGTCACAATAATCCTGTTTTGATTATTTGTTCTGGCTGCTAAAATAAAGTATTTACTATTTTTTTCATAAGGTCTAAACTGTACTTACTCGCCATTCTGGAAAATCGACAATATTAGTAGGATTTATTTTGTTTCTTTGTTCTTTTGGATTTATTTGTGTTGCTTGTATTCCTTGTTGTTTAGATGATTGCAAAGATATTAGACATAATTGTCCATAATGTTAAAAAACTTTAGGAAAAACTACATTTAACATACTAAAATGATTAGATTTATATGATATATCATTTCCTTAAGTAAATTCTTTTAATTGTTTCAATTTCTTATTGTGTCATAAACGAATTCATGATTTTCTCTCTTTCCCTCAAATAAGCAGCTGTGTCAGAAATAACACCTCTTTAGATACTACTAGGGGCAGTATAACTTAGTTCCACTTTAATTGGTGAATCTTATTTAATTTCCTTTTTGTAAACGTCTCTATCATATTCATATTGCTGCGTTTATAAATGCTTATTATTATAATTGGGTTGATAATTATAGGAATTTTAGTATCGTTCTTTAACAAAAGATTAATTCAAATCTCTAGGTTATTACTAATAATAAGAATATTGTAATTCATTTCGTTTGTAATTTCTTTTAAATTCTTCATATCTAGTCATTTATTAATCTAATTGAGTTTGCTCATTTCTTTTATAAAATGCACTAGATGTTCTATTCTATTCTGGTATATAGTCTCTATATAGATGATAAATAGAATACGAGATTTAGACATTCCTAAATTTGAAAGACTTCTTTGAGGTTGATTCATTTCTGTTAATTATAAATAAGTAATGATCATATAAAAAAGTAAATTCAAATTTCCTCTATAGACAATTATAACCATTATTTAAAGACATCAATTTTGAGAGATTATGTATATTTGATTGCTTTAGTTTATAACAATTCTTAAGCTTTAGTTCTATCTTTTGGTTCTTATTGTAGACTATTAAAGATAATGAAAATAATGAAATTACCATTTAGATATAAATTAAATAGTGTTTTCTGAGATTGTATGTTTATGTTATTAGAAATAATCATCAATTTTAAAATTCTTACTCATTTAAATGTATTCTATCATACTCATTTATTTTGCATTAAATTCATATGGTAAAAGACCTGTAATACATTACATAGTCATCATTCCTACACTCCAAATATCACAATCATAACCATATTCTTCTCCATTTAATCTTTCAGGAGACATATATTAAATAGTACCAATAAATGTATCAAATTTCTAATCTGAATTTTCACTAACAGAACAAATTCCAAAATCTCCAATTTTAACTTCTCCCTTTTTATTAATTAATATATTATGAGGTTTAATATCTCTATGTATTATATGTTTGTTTGTATGCAAATAATCTAAACCTTAAAGTACTTCTTTTATTATCAACATAGTTATGGATTCTGGTATTTTTTTAGTTTTTTCTATAATAATCTACAAAGATCCCATATCCATATACTCCATTACTATATAGATTTCTCCTTTTGAATAAAATGCTCCATAACATTATACAACATATTATGAATTGCAATCAATAAGTGCCTTTAATTCTTTCTTCAATAATGACTCTTATACATCATTACTAACATAATGTATTTTCTATGTAGATAAGATATGATGAAGATACTTTCAAAGCATAATAATCTTGAGTAGGTTTGTGAAGTACTTTCTCAACACTACCATAATTTCCTTAACCTAATTTACAGACAATTTCAAAATCTTCTAATTTAAGATCCTTAAAGTGTTATGATTCCATATAAGTAATGTCTATTTTAATATCAAAACATAATATACTTTTGGTGAAAGTAAGACCTTTAGAATTAAGACGAAACTGACTAAGGACTAAAGATCCATTGGCTGATCTGAAAATAGAAAGGATTTCTATTACATATTTTACATTTTCTGTGGTTCTTCACTTGCAAGAGAACGCAAAAGCAATCTCCTTTTATTTGAATCATTGGATTACATTAATTTATTATATTTATAATTAAGTTTTGGGTCTTTGTCAAATTTAGATAATATATTGATTATTCATACAACAATGATCAAAATAGAAATTCTTAGATATTGTGATAAATTAATGAACAATAACATATTTCCATTTTAATTATAATAAAATATGTATTAGGGATCTAACCTTTCTCGTACAGGTTAAATGGCTGTATAAAATGAGTAAGTCTCCAATTAGCTAAAACTACTCAAAGCAAAGATGAGCAATCGTGACACTTGGTAATAAGGAACTAATTAGCAATTAGACAGTTATCCTCATACACAACCTACCAAACCATCACAATCACCTCTATATCCCAAAAGTGACTATGACTTCTATACAATGAAACAACAATAGTAATAATAAATGCAATCCAGCTCTTAACCTAAAATTAATGATCCACGCACTTACAATTATTAACAATTACAACAATACAAACAACAATAACAACAAATATTACCTCCTTAGAATCCTAATAGAAATGATCCTTATCTTGGTATGAATGCTTTAAATAGACTCAATTAATATGATTAACTTTAGAAATATAAAGAGGATCCATACAAAAAGACTAACAACTTAAATAATTACAATGTTCCCTAAAGTTATTATGAATAATAATTAAATAAGCGGCAATAATAACAATAATTAATACAATAACCTAATAAATATTATGATGATGTCTTATCTAAAAAATAATAATCTTATGGATATTAGTAAAATAATAATTATGATTTCACTCAATAACCAATTTCATTGCAAAATAAGTATGATTATATGAATAACAATAATAATTACACAAATAATGGTCTTTATAACAATAATTTGTAATGGTAAAATTCAAACTAAATGTCATGGTAAAATACTAACTAAAACAATATCTATAACAATAACAACAATTATAATTAATAATAATAGTCATCTTAAACAAATCAATATAATCCATATGGAAATTAAATAAATTAAAATATTTTATAGTAATAATCATCATACAATCAATATAATTACAATTAAAATCCTTAATCTTTATCTCCACTCAAATACTAATAACAATAACCTACTTAATAATATAAATATTCTCAACATAATTCTTAACCTCAATTTGAAAAAAGAGAAAGACCTTTTGAAAGACAATAAGATCCAATTTCTGAATAATATAAATAAACATAATAAACTTAAGAATAATAATATATTAAACAATAACCTAGAAAATAACCAATACCTTAACCATAACCATTATAATCATATAATAATAATAATAATAATAATAATAATAATAAAGTAATTAATCCCATAGATGAATTGCCTGCTGTTGCTAAAAAAAATCAAACCAATTCTATTCCACCTGAAGAAGATGATGATGCTGATTTATTAGAATGTCCAGAAGGATGTGGCAGAAGATTCAAAGAAAATGCTTTAGATAAACATATTAAAGTATGTAAAAAAGTGTTCTAATCAAAAAGAAAAGAATTCAATTCAAAAGCACATAGATAAATTAATTAAGAATAAGCAAAATTAGAAAAATAAGGATTAGTTAAGGATAAAATAATTGAGAAGAAAAAATAGATGGCTTAAAATGGAGATCCTAAATGGAAAAAATAATCAGAAGCATTTAGATAAATGATTAATGCAGCAAAATAAGGAGGAACTGTTGATATTTAACCTTAAGATGATCTAGTAGAATGTCCTGGTTGTGGTCGTAAATTTAGTGAATAAGCTGCTGATAGACATATTCCAGGTTGTAAAAAAAGAAACTTTAAAAGATGATTAATTATATATTATTAACTATTTATGTCAAAAAGATTACCTTCACTTTCTGTTGATTCCTCCAAAATTGTTTAATTAGTACATTACGGTATACTCAAATGTATTATCTAGGTCAGGCACTAGCTGAAATGGGAATGGGTTTTAAAGCTCTTCAACAATATGATTATGCATTAGAACTTAACCCAAAGAGTCCTATTGTATTTCATTAAAAAGGTTTAATCAATATAATATCTTAGGATTGTTGTACTTCCAAAAAGAATAATACATTCATGCCTTGCATTGTTATGAATAAGCCTTACTCTAAGGCAATCAACTCAATATATATTTTGATAAAGGCAATGCTCATTTAGCCTTGAATCAAATTGACAAAGCTATAGAATGCTATACTATAGCCTAATAATATTTTAATAATCGAAAAGAAGTTTATTATCAATTAGGAGTTGCCCATTATTAGAAAAATAGTATTGTAACAGCTCTGAGAAATCTAATTTAGGCTATTAAATTAGATCCTAAATATATACTTGCACTCTAAAAACTAGGAGATATTTATTATGATCTTAAAATGTATAAGAAGGCCTTAAAAACATATGATTAAATTCTACGTATTGATGGTCTAAATCATAAAACCGTTTATAGCAAGGGCTTAATATATTTTGAAATTAATGAGAAGGAAAAAGCATTGGCTTGTTTTGAAAAATGCATTCTTCTGTAACCAAATAATTCAATGCCCTACTTTAATAAAGGAGTCATATGTTTATAAAACAATGATTATAGGGAAGCATTAAAAAACTTTAAGTAGTCTTTAAATAGAAATCCTTAAAATTACTAAGCCAAATTTAATTTAGGTTTAGCGTATTAAAAATTAGGAATATTTGATAAAGCTTTGTTACAATATAGTAAATGTTAATAAACTCATGAGGTCTTATTTAATTCAGGTTTAATATAATAATAGTTTAAATTATATTATAAATCTTAGGATTTGTTTAAAAAAGCAATAAAATAACAATCAGATAAACCTGAGTATTGGTATAATTTAGGAATCAATTATTACTTTTTAGATAATATAAGTGAAACTGCAAATTGCTTTGAAAAAGTTATTGCTTTAGGAGGTTTATGGATTATTGAGGATAAAAATATTTAACATCCAGCAATAATTTAATATAGATAATAATTTATAGAGAAACCAACAAATTATATTAATTATTATCAATAAGGTCGTATATATTGTTTATTAAATCAATTTTATTCAGCAATTAAATCATTTTAAAAAAGTATTGAATTAAATTCCAATTTTGTTTAATCTAAATTAGAATTAGCTAAAGTTTATGAAAGTCTAAAATAATATAAAGAATCTATATTAATTTATAAAGAGATAAATAATTAATAATCTTATCAATAATTAAGTATATTATTATCACATTTGTAATTGCATGATGCTACAATCTATATTTTGAATAAGATTTTGGAAATTGATCCAAAAAATATTGAAGCTCTATACAATAAAGGATTATCATTATCTTAATTAAATCAATATGTACTAGCTTTATAATGCTTTGATGAGATTATTCGTATGTAACCTAGATATATAGAGGCTATATTTTAAAAGGGTATCACTTTGAAATAAATAAATGAAAATGAGAAAGCTTAATAATAATTTTAAAAGATACTAAGTTTCACACCAGAAAATGAAATAATTTATTTATTGTAAGGTCATACACATTTTCATCTTCAACAGTATACTGATGCTATAAGTGCTTATGAGAAAGCCATAGAAATAAATAATTCTTTTAATGAAGCTTACTTTGGGTTAGGATTTGTTCATTATACAAGAAAAGAATACTAATTATCTATTAAAATATATAAATAATACTTATAGTAATTTCCAAAATCAAAATAATTCTTGTTAGCTCTTGGTACTTATATAATAATATAATAGCCAATTCATTCCATAAACTTGGAAAAAATAAATCAGCTTTAAAGAAATTGGATGAAATATTGGTGTAAGATTAATATTCATCTGAAGCAATTAATTGCAAAGCTATAATTTATTATGATCTTAAAAATTTTAAATAGTCCTTTATAAATTTTTAAAAGGCTATCTAATAAAAGCCAAAATAAAATGAATTACTTAAATATGTATATAATTCATGAATTTTATGGGATATATTTAATTAAATATTATGATATCTTATTAAGAAATCTTATATTTCTTTTATTAATAATACTTAATTAAACAATTAATTTCAATATCAACTTCAAATTTCTTCAAAAATATACGAAAAAAGAAAATCAAATAAATCCAAAAATTACTATCAATTTTTAACGATTTTAATAAATGAATTGTTTCTACTTCTAAAAGGTTTCTTTGATTAATGCTGAGAAGAACTTTGATCCAATTTTACTAATCTACTTGTATTACAATAATATGAATTTGATTTATTAGAGTCAACTGTACTATTTTCAGTTGGAATTGTTGATTATTATGTGTCTCGCTTTTCTGCTAATTTTGCTTAAAGCTTTTTATATTGATTTTTTAATTCAATTATTTATTTATCTTATCTTAATGGTATGGCACTTTAACAAATCATTATTTTTTGTTACATTTCGAATATTTCTCTCTTGATTTAAAAGTTTTAATCTAACATTTCAGCATTCTAATCTTCTATTTTTTTGCGTTTTAATATTTATTCTTAATTCTCTCTTATCATTTATTAATATTATTCACTTAAATATCTATTCTGTTCCATTTTCAACATTATCTATTAATATAATTCTTTGCTAACTAAAACATTTGTATTATGTTTCTCATTATTTTAAATATCTATTATAGTATTTTGTGAATTTATTAGATGTAAAGCTTAAAAACTAAACTCAAGAGGAATGTCAACTAATGAATCTTAGGTTAGAAAATAGTTATTGTAATTTTGATGATCATCTAAAATTGAAGACTCTTGTTGAGAATTATTGAATAGTCCAGTTAATTGATTCACAGACAAAAAGATGGGCTTAACAACTTAATCTTACATTAATAATAATAAAATTATGATGAATCTATTGATTTTATACTCTCAATAAATTTATCTTATATTTTTATTTATCTGCTTGATAATTAAATTTGTCATCTGATTCAGACATATAAATATATTTTCATATCTAAATATTCTATATAATCTTTTGATTTTATGGTTCATACATTATAAATTCAATATATAAT